TTCCCCTAAATTATTCATCTATCCATATTTGCCCCTTCAATTATTTTAAAAGTGTCAATTTTTTCATTTGATGTTAAATAGACATTTTTACCTTTAAGTAATTATTTCATTTATTTTTTCTTCTCCAACAAATTATTACTTATATGTAGGGATGACCACGGTTTGATTTGAAATTATTGGACACTAGCAACCGAATTGAAATAGTATGGATGATTATTGTTACAATTCAGAACCGGAAAAAATAAAATAAAATAAAATAATTTGTCAATTTAGACTATTTTAAAAATATAAAATAAAAGTTACACAAATAAATAAATAAATAAATAAAATTTGAACCGACGGTTCAAACCGAAATTGGAATCATAATAAATGTGAACCGGAATCAAAACAAGAATCGTCTTTACTGTTTCAATTCAGTTTGGTTCCTATAGTGTCCGGTTAGGTTCAAATCGAACCGTGATGATTATCCCTACATATAAGTAATAATTTGTTAGAGAAGAAAAATATATGAAATAATTATTTTAGGTGTAAAAATGTCCATTTAACATCAAAGGAGGGAAAACCGCCTCTTTTAAAATATTTGAGGGGACAAATATAAATACATGAATAATTCAAGAAAAAAACTACTATAAATCTATAATTCAGAGAAAAAAAATATCATTTTACCTTTAAATTACATAAAATGTCTTTTGGAAACCTGCTCTATTAAAAATTTATTTATATCTATTATACACATTTATAACTACTCTTTCATTCACAAATTGTTCAAATCTAAACATTATTAGGTATTTAGGTAGTCTTTGTTTCAATCAAATTCAACAACAAAAACCTACCACCAATCATACACTGCACCTAGAAATTTAACCCAACCTCACTACACTTATATATATAATATAAAAATGAGACAAATATAAAACTTGTTACTAAAAAGAAAAAGAGAGTAAGGGTCAAATAGGTCATTGAATTATGTACACACGAAATTGCAATTGGATTATTGAACTCAAAAAAATTACAATTAGGTCATTGAACAACGCAAAATCATGCAATTAGATAAAAAATGACTTGTTTACATGTTGATGGCTGACGTGACAGTTACCAGATTAAAAAAATAATTTTTTAAAATTTTATTTCAATTATTTTAATTATAAAAAAAAAAAAAAAAAAAAAGAACTTTGGCAACATGGAGACGTCCAGGCTACTAGAGACGAAGAGGTCTCTTCGTCTCCAGGCTGTCGGAGACGACGAGACCTTCGTCTCCAGCAGCCCAGAGACAAAGACGAAGAGTCCCTTCATCTCCAGGCAGCCTGGAGACGAAGCTCTCTTCGTCTCCGAGCAACATGGAGACGGAGTTATCGTCGTCTCCAAGCTGCCGGACCTCCGACCTTTTTTTTTTTTTTTTTTTAATTTAAAATTATTAAAATAAAAATTTTAAAATTAAATTTTAATTCAATAACCGTCACGTCAGCCATCAACGGGTAAACAAGTCATTTTTTGTTCAATTGCATTATTTTGTGTTGTTGAGGGATCTAATTGTAGTTTTTTTTAGTTCGACAATTGGATTATAATTTCGTGTATAGTTTGATGGCCTATTTGAGCCTTATTTCAAGAAAAAAAAAAAACGTGATCTAAATGTTAACTCTATTTATTGTATATGTACATTGAATTCAGTATACAATATTTTATTAAATGATTTATTAGAGTAATAAACACAAAAGTAAATTTGTTGTCTTCCTCATGAATTTCACATTTATCCCACTAGTTTATGCAGAGTAGTTTACGTTATGTTATGAAATACCTTATTCTTTTGGCTAGTGTAATACATAAAGTGTCGTGTATAATGTTTATGGTAACATATATAACATTAAATAATACTCCGTATTATTTTTGATTGCATGTGCCTTAAATAATAATAATAATAATAATTAAATAATAATAATAATAATAATAATAATAATAATAATAATAATAATAATAATAATAATAATAATAAAAAGAGAAAATTACACTTTTGGTTTTAAGTTATGAGATTAATTGTAGAGTTCGTCCATACTTGCTGATCGTGTTCACTTATTATCTATAAGCTATAATTAACGTTGTAAATTTCGTCTTTTTTTTTTTTTTTTTCTAACAAAACATTAGGGATGAAATTTGCAACGTCAGTTATAGCTTAGGGGCGAGGAGTGGACACGACCTCTTAGAAAAATGGTGAAATTAAATTTGCGGATCAGTTATAGCTTAGAAATGAGAAATAAACACGATTTACAAGTATGAACAAATCTTACAATTATTGTATAATTTAGAAACAAAAAGTATAATTTTTCCCAAAAAGAAAATAATCACCAACAATCTCTTATTCTCCACCCTCTTCCTCTCATAGCCTTCTCCTTCAACATCAAATACGCAGCATATTTGGGCATCAATGCCCCTACCACTAACCATTTTGCGGAGAAGGATGTTTATTGTAGGTTAAGGTAAAGGGACAAGGGTCTAATCAGTATTTTGGATTTAACTTAATTAATAGTTTCGAATTCTATGACAATTAAAAATTTTAAATTTCAAGTGTGACTCTCCATAAGGGCAATTGTTATATCGTGCACCAGGATGCACAATGTATTGTGTGACCTAAATATTTTCTGTTTTGTATGTACATAATTATATAGTAAATACACATAAACTCCTAACATAACACACATAATCTAACATAATACATAATATACATAAATTTTTAACATAATACATATAAATTCTTAGGGCGCATAATGCAATATGGTGCACGGTATAATTTGCCCCATAAGGGTCTAATCAGTAATAAGTATTTTGGGTTTCTTCCGTTAAGTTTGTGCTTAAGTCTAATGGGTAGACATTTTTGTAAAATACATTTATGTATATTATTTTAGACGAGGAGATTTTACTATTTTGGTAAGATTTTAGGTGGAATGCAAAATAGATATATTATATAATAAATTAAAGTCCAACTTGCTTAGTTTACATAAATGGATGTATAACAAGGAAAAAGTTACAAATTCTCCAAAAGTTGATCTAATTCATAGACTTTTTATTAACAACATAATCAATCAATCCTTCAAACTAACGGAGAAAGTTCAAATTTTTTGGTTTTAGGATAGTTGTTTGGTTGGAACTATTTGGTGAAGGCGATGGTTTAAACATGAAAAGAGTGGTTGTAGCCCAATATTGACTAAAACAAAGTTAAATCAAGCATGAGATGACAAATTTGTATGTACTACAAGAAAGGAATATCAAGACAACTAAACATTATTGGATGAGTAAATTTCAAGCAACATGCAATGCAATGTATGGTGCTATTAGTGTTTTTATTTTTAATTATTAACAAATTAAATAATAATTGTAGGCTACTAATTGATGGTTTTATTTTTTATTTTTTATTTTTTTTATTTTTTTTTTACATTGGAGGGGGCAAAAGCCAACGTTAAGTAATTATACGAGTCAACGCTCCCCCAGCATTAGCTTGTAAGAGATCCAACAGGTAATCTGGAGGAGCCCTCGGTGATTGAGAGGAACCGTAGCTATAGCTATCTATATAACTCTCCTTTAGAAACCTTCGAGGGAGGCTTACTCTGGGTAGAGTGAGCTGACCGGTCTGTCCGAAGGGAACTAGAAGTGAAATAAGTCCTAAAAGCAGTAGCAGTCTTAAGAGTTGAGTTCCTTTCTTTTCTTTACCGTGACTAGGGATCGTATTTAATAGACCGAAGGGATTCCTACGGGGAAATAAGCTCTTCCCTCAGCCCATAGTCCAAAAACGGAGGGCAGGAGGGAAGGGCCTTAGTTCCCCTAAAGAGAGCGGGACGTCCCCCATAATTGATGGATTATTGTGTTGTATATAGAATTACAATCTAATAATTTTTAATATTCATTATTAATCTTAAACTTCCTATTTTCATTTATTTTTATACATAATTAATAAGATAGAGCAAATGCTACAAACCCTTGTAATTTTCCTACAAATTTCCCTCCTGAGGTGTCATTATGTGATTGTTAGTTAAATTTATTTATTAGTTGGTGTGTTAGTTAATTCATTGACACCCAATAAATGAAAATCACATCATGAGAAAAAAGTTTAGAGGTAAAAATTAGGAGGAAAAAAGAGCATTATGTGTAACAATTATTTATAATTTATGGCTATCAATATTTGTCTTAGGGGCCATCGGTTTCCTTTCTTCTCATCTTCATTTCCTTTTAATGAAACAATAACAGGGCGTTTCGTTGGAAGGAAAGAATTAAGGGGGAAAGGAATTGTAATTCGGTGAAAAAAGAATAAGGTGAAAATAAAGTGAATTACAATTACATCGTTTGGTAAGGAGTAATAATGGAAATGGGAGAAGTGATATAAAGACTAAAATACCCTTATGTAATAATATTAATAATAACATTAAAGGACAAATATGAATTGCAATTAAAAAAAAAACAATAAGAGGTGTATAATAATCGTATAGATTCCTTAACATAGTTATTGATTACTGGTCTTACGAAAAGTCCGTTCCTTTTCCTCTTAATTTCATCCCATTTTACCAAACAATAAGATGTATATAACAATTGTATATATTCCTTAACGTGACAACCGATTACGAGTCATAGGGATAGGTAGCAAATTTCCTAGGTTATGGATTATCGTCTTAGGAATATTAAGCTTCTTTTCTTCTCGTTTTCATTCCTATTTACCCAAACACAATAACAGATGCATAATATATTCCTTAACAAGGGTATCGATTATTGATCTCGAGGGCGGCGATATGCAAATTTCCTTCTTATTTTTGTGTCTTTTACCTATAAACAATTAGAGTTTCATAACCAAAATATATAATAATATAATTCTATAAACATGACAATGGCAAAGGCATAATGATGATGATGATGATGATGGGTATATGTTAAGAAATAACATGCATTATCATATCATGGTGCCTCTATAGCTGGCCATTGTCTTGGGGCATCTTTATAAGTCGGGTCTTTGCTCACAAATGATCACTTTTTGGAAGATTACAAGGAGAGAGAAATAAGAGAAAGAGAGAGAGAGAGAGAGAGAGAGAAAAAAAAAAGAAAATGGAAAGCTGTATATCCAATAATGCAGAATCAAGATCCCCATCACCACCACCCCATGGAACCCTTTTCCATGGAGTTGAAGGAGATGGGTTTGGGTGGTTCAAGAATGAGGAGGGAGAGGATCCATGGCAGAGCATGAAGGGGAAGAAGAAGAAGAAGAAGCAGGTGTTTCTTGAAGGGTATGTGGAGACATCAGATGAGGATGAGCTTGGGAGGACAAAGAGCTTGACTGATGATGATTTGGAGGAGCTTAAAGGGTGTTTGGATCTGGGGTTTGGTTTTAACTATGAGGAAATTCCTGAGCTCCGGAACACCTTGCCTGCCCTTGAGCTTTGCTATTCCATGAGCCAAAAGTACCTTGATGATCACCAGAAGTCTCCTGAATCCATGTCTGACACAGCCTCCACCTTTTCTGCCTCTACCCCTATTGCCAATTGGAAAATCTCTAGTCCTGGTAAGCCATGTTTCTTCTCAAACCCTGGGTTATTAATGAAAAAGATTTGATTTTTCTGTTGGATTTGAGTTCTTTGATCTTGGGAGGACTTGTTTTGGATGTGATTAGGGGTCCTAGATGCTGGGTTATTCCTAAATTATGACTTTAATGTTTCAAGATTGGGTAGAAAATCAAATTTCCAATTATTGTTTCTCTGTTTAGAACAATCCTCAACCTGATATAGAAAATGGGGTTTATGGATTGTCTTATAAAATAATCTATAAATACCAAAAATCATGTTAATGCTTCAAGATTTCTTGAATTGTTTGATTGCCCTGATACCTGAAAATCCCCTATTTGGCCACAAAGTTACTACTTTAACTTTGGGATCTGTTCTTGGCTTCTTGTTTTTGCCAATAAAAATTAATGATAGATATCTTGTTTGAATGTTAAGTACTTCACAAGTTTATCACAGAAGTATTAAGGTTTAGAATTGATCTTATGTTTGTGTTTCTGAGAACCTGCAAATGTGAGAATCCTTGTTCTGATCATATGTATTACTATTTCTACCACACCAGGTGATAATCCTGAAGATGTTAAAGCTCGTCTCAAATACTGGGCGCAGGCAGTTGCTTGCACGGTCAGATTATGCAATTAGAGGGGAGATTGATGGATTCGATTTGATAAGAAAGGAAGGAGAGACCGCTCTCTTCATTTCGGTCCATTGACCTTCATTGAGCATTTGTGCTCAGCCCGACCCCAAGAGGCAAGATGGGATTGTATCTCCCGGGTGCTGAAAGTTCCCGAGTCATCATTCCAGGAGAGGGATACCGAGTAATCCATGGATGGTAGGTCGTAAAGTTTTCCATTGAGAGAGGCAGAGAGACGCGAAAAGGAGGGAAATATCCAATCCAATTCCAAGAATAACAATAAGACTGCAATATAAATATATAATGCCCTGCAGATGCCATACCAAAATCTTGAAATAACACTCTGTATTCTTGCTGTACTATTACATTTTTAACAAGTTGAATGAATTTGTATAGTTGCTCTCCTTCCAGGTTTCTATTTTCCCAGTTTTTGCAAAAAGGGTTGGTTTTTTAGATTTCAGATTTTGATAATAATGTCTCTGCAGTGCAGAGTCACAGGTATTGATCAAGAGTTCACATGCAAAACAATTTGCAGCAGGTTCTTGTCCTGTCATCTTTCCCTGTATGCACTTTATCAGTAATTGATTGCAATGGATGATTTTTGTTACTGGTAAAACAATTTTAATCAAAGATTGGTAGTCAAAGTCTATCTATGTTTAATTTTCTGTGTGACAGAATTATACAGAGATAAAATGAGTTAATACCAGTTGGGGTCCTCCAAGAGTCCGAGTATAGTGGCACTATCATGTTTAGTCGTAAACTTTCAATTTAATCACCCGTGGACTTTCAACTTCCAAATTTAATTAGTTGTGGTCCTTCCGTTAGTTTAGGTAAGGGCAAAGTTAGGACAAGAGATAGTTAAAAGTTTGAAAGTTGAAGGATTATAGGTGGTTAACTTGAAAGTTGACGGACTATGTGTGGTTAAATTTGAAAGTTTTGAAGGAACACCCGTCGTTAAATTGAAAGTTTAGGACTAAACGTGGAAGTGTCACTATATTTGAAAAACCCTAGCTGGTATTAATTAACTCGAGATAAAATGGACATTTTGGAGTGTAGCATTACAATATTGTGACTATTCTGCACTGGTAGATAAGGTCGGTTGAGGAAGGGAAGCTTCGCGAAGAGTGCGAAAATGGAGAAAATGACAAAGGGAAAATAGAGCTTGGTTTTCTACTTGTCTCTACCTTCACCTTCATAGCTAAAGTGACTTGAAGTTTCGGCTTAGAGTTGAGTGAATGTGGATAAGTGTTGAAGGAGATGAAGATTTGGATAAGGTGTAGAAGTAGATATATGATGTTGAGTGCAGGGACTTGCTAGCATCCCAGCAGCAGCTGAAATTTATCTCTGTTGCTGCTCATCATTTGGAGTTGTGTCATAACAATAGATTTTTTAAAGACTTGAAATGGGAAGTTTGGGAGGATGAGGATTTGGATGGGGTTGGTTTCAAAATCTTTAATTTACGAGAAAACTCGACTCAAACTAAGAAGGCTAATAGACAACTCTTATAGGGAATCGAATTTAAAATTTTGTAGTTACCAAGCCAACTGTTCGACTAACTTGGTTGACGTTGTCTGGGTTGGTTTCAAAATTTGCATTGAGGCCTTGGCAGCATATTGTCATCTTAACTTTGGATAAAACTTTATGGTCAATTGTGATGAAATTAAGGTATATTCAATTATTACCATCTATGAAAATGTTATTCACTTGTAACAAATTTAAATAGGATTAATATTTGATGCATCGTCGGTGTATAGATGCTATACACCGACGGTGAAGGAGAAGATGCCACATCATTAAAAAAACAAATTCAATATTAACCGGGTCCTTTTTTGCAAAATATCTAAGACTTGTATTTTATTAGGTAAGTCTTTTATTTCTAATTAACAAAATATATTTACTTTCCTAAACATATTTATTACTTGATTATTATATATCTAATTATTAACAATTTTACACTTGCAAGTTCAATTCTACGACAGTGACAATGAAACCTGTATCATCCGTATGGTTAATAGTATTGTTAACATGTTCTATACTTAAAATTAAGAATTCTAATTGAATTAAAATTTTTTAATTTTAATTAACAAAAATCATCTAATTTCTTATATTTATCTAAACTCCTAAATCTATTTAAACCCCTAAATTTAAATTACAACCTTAGTCACTATTACAAACAATTGCAACATCTTGTAAGAATACATATTCAATAATGTAAAAAAATCAACACTTAATCAAATATTATATAATAGTCAAATTATATCTTAAAACTTATTAAAAAGTTAAAATGTAATATTCAACACAACAGTATCCAATAATGTAAGAAATCAAATTTGTAAACTAGGATGATGAAACATAAAACGAGCCACAAATTTGGTGAGGAGCCACAAATTATTTCTAATCATGAATAAGGTTGTAATTTAAATCTAGGAGTTTAGGGATTTAAATAAATATAAAAATTTAGATACATATAAAAAATTATATGATTTTTGTTAATTAAAATTAAAATTTTTTAATTATAAATATAATAATTTAGAAATTCAGTTAAATTAGAATTATAAATTTTAAGCAAAGAACCTTTTAACAATATTTGTCAATCATAAGGAGGATCGTTATACCCTGCACCACGGCGCGCGTAGCACTGTGCGCTCCGCGCCTCCCAAAACGACATCGTTTTGGCAAGTTATGTAGGGAGTTGACGTGATTATGTGTATTGTTTATACAATTATGTGTATTGTTTATACAATTATGTGTATTTGTTTATACAATTATGTACATTTTTTATACAATCATATACATTTTTTTATACAATTATTTACACCCGAAACAGGAAATTTATGTGTATTATGTTAATAGTTGATGTTTATTATATTAAAAGTTTATGTATATTATGTATTATGTTAGATTATATGTATTATCTTTTTAAAAAAATGTGTATTTTGTTGTACAATTATGTACATTCATGTATACAATTATGTGTATTCTAGTATAAAATTATGTACATTTTTGAACATGAATTTTATTTTTAAAGAAAATTATCCGCCAACACAGGGTATCGAAATTTCAAAAAAATAAAATAAAAATCTGAAACGACGTCGTTTTGCATCAGGGCGCACAATGCAATGCGCGCCCGCCCTGGTGCAGGATATAAATTGCCTCATAAGGATGATACATGCTTCATTTGTCATTGTCGTAGAATTGAACCTACAAGTGTAAAATTGTTTTTTTTTTTTTTTTTGTTTTTTTTTTTAAACGAAAGTGTAAAATTGTTAATAATTAGATATATAATAATCAAGGAATAAATATGTTTAGGAGAGTAGATATATTTTGTTAATTAGAAATAAAAAACTTACCTAATAAAATGAAGTCTTAAATATTTTGTAAAAAAAGGACCCAGTTAATATTAATTTTGTTTTTTAATGATGTGACATCTTTTCCTTCACCGCCAGTGTATAGCATCTATACACCGACGGTGCATCAAATATTAATCCTCCATTTAAATAAGGGTGGAAGATAACTCATATATTTATAAGATGTAGTTGCCCTATTACTCTCTTTTAGTGATGCTTAGCTTGTTGGCAATTCAACTTGAAATCTCCTTATAACACTCGGAAAATAAAAATAAAAAAAAAGCCTAAGATAACGAATTTTAAAAACTGAAGTCTCATACTTAACTCTTTTGGATGAAATAAGTTCTTGAATATGATAATAATTTAGTTATTCTCCTTTTGAAAGTTACATTGTTTCTCTCAACCATAGCAATGTTTTACTTTATAAAATCAACAAACATCTAAAAAAACATCTAAAATCAACTCCCATAAAGACACAAAATATAGCAACAAAACATGTAATTTAGATCATTAATTACAAGTATCAATAATATATAAACTACAATTGCAACAGAAGATATAAAACCCAAATATAAATACTTCATTGAAGAATTTAAGAGCAAAGGCATATAGGTTCATAAATACATTTTACCCAAAAATTTTAAAGTAACATTTGCCAACCATGGCTAATTATTGACTTCATTAAACAAATATTAATGAGGATCCAAGAAACAAAGAAAGTAAAAGAAAATGGAAGAAATTTTTTCGAATGATGTTCTTCCAAGCTTTTCTTTCGTCTTTCGGTGTGACTTGAAACTTCCAACCTTCTATTTTCTTCATTGAATTGATTCTACTCTTCAAAGGTGGGGATCCCTCTTTTTCCTTTGTTTGGAGTGTAAAGAATTAGATTTTTCACTCGATTTTGTCTTCCCAAACCGCCACTCTTACAGGGCGTTTGGTTGGAGGGGGGGAATTATGTGGGAAAGGAATTGTAATTCCATGAGAGTTGAATTACTGGAAATAAAGTGAGAATTTAAATTCCAGTGTTTGGTTGATAGGAATAGAATTACTGGGAATTTCAATTCCAATGTTTGGTATACATGGGAATTGAAAGGGAATAAGTAGTATAAAGTCAAAAATGTCCATTATTATTGTTAGACATTAATTTTAGGTTAAAAAAGGAAGGGGTAATTTTGACTCATCACTATCTTTTTTTCTCAGGAATTAAAATACCAGGGGGGGACATGAGATTTTAATTCCATAAAAATAGGGGAAATTCCCTCCAACCAAACTACGAAATTTAATGGCCTTTGGAATTAGGTGGGAATTAAGGTTTGAAGATGAATGATGGTATTTATAGTGGGGTTGAAATGGGGGCCAAAATGAAATTTTCGCGCTGCTGATATTTCGCATGACAGAAATCAATAGCTAAAAATCGACCATTCTGCCTCCTCTCGTTGCGATCGACGAGCTTACTCTGTAATGCAACTTTGACTTCTAAGCTCATTTTGACCCTTTTAGCTTCATAATTTGACTTTATGGTCTTCATAAGATTTGTAGCCCTTGAAGTTGGCTTACCAATGCTACTAAAATCATCCTAATTGGACTTTCCTAAAAAAAAAAATATGATCAAATTAAAATACTAAACATAAGTCATTTTAGGCGAAAACTATAATTTTGCTTTACTTTTGCAATGATTTGCCAACATGAAAAGAACCATCCAAAACACATCAAAAACCATTCAAGTCATGCATTAAACTATCCTTCAATAAAAATATAATAAATTTAATCATTTAACCACAAAAATCATGAAGGCAATTAATAAACACATATGAGCAAAAGTGTGTTCAATTTGTGCATTATCAACAACAATCACTACTATCACCACCGCCGCCACCACCACCACCACTACCACACCACCACCCCTTATTATTATTTTGTAACAAAGAATACGTACTTTCATTTTCAAGAAAATGAAACCAAACAGAAAAAAATGTAATTTCTTAATTTTCAATTAAACAACTTAAGATTATTTTCTAACCTTCTGCCAAACACTAGAAAATTAAATTATTTTTTAAA